TCGAACCATTAATTATGAAATTGAAGGATTGAAATCCAAATCCCCACGAGTTTAGGGTTTAAGCCAAATAGGTCCTTAAAGTGACCAAAGATTACTTTTTTCATCCCAACTTATTAATGTATACCTAATTAAATTGTAATTGAGTCCTATGCCCTTAATTACATAAAATGGGTCTAATCTTATTCATTTTCTTACTTAGGCCGAAAGGATTTTTTAGTGAAAACCCTAGGAATTCATTTTCCCCTCATATCCAATTTGTGGTTTATTATAGGGCAACCTCTAATCAAGTAGGTGACGTACCAATTTCCGAGTATAATTAAATCATATCCTCTTTTTTTATTAGAAACTAGACATATTTATTCATAACATATCAAAAAATTAGGTTTAAATACTAAACACACAATTCATAACATAATTTTGAAGTTTAAGATTCAATGCTATCCAGCAGTAGTTCACCCAGCACAGATCTATACTAAAACGGGCATAATTTTTTCTATATAAATCTAATAATGAAAATATTTCATAAGAAGTTATTCAAGACATAGATAAACAACTTTTAATCTTTGAGGTTCACCCAAAAATCATTCTAAAGTCCTTGAATAGGCAATACCAAAGTCGGACAGAAATTATTCCTCAATAACACTAATTTGGCCATTCATTCCAACCCACATTAACCATGTTTTAGTCTAATTAAATTTCATTCCAAGTCTAATCCAACTCATTTTCACATATTTGAACATGCACTAGGCATTATAAACATCACAATTCATCACCTACACAACATCCACAAGTAGAGCAAGCTAAGACATCAAACAACTACCAACACAAACCAAGCTCAACAATACACAAACAACTCAACCAATACCTAACTTATACACATAAAAATGGGCATGTAAAAGCATAAATAAACCAAAGAAACCCACTTACTTAGCTTAGGTATGGTTAGAATTTTCTTGGCTTTGCCTTCTTTCTTTTCTTTTTTTTTCTTTCCTTTTCTTTTCCTTTTCTTTTTTGCCGTTTCACTCTTTCTCACTTTTATTTTCTCTCTTTTTTGTGAGCTACGGTCTTGGACTAACAAAATGGCAGCCATGCACTCCATTTCTATATATATATTCTTCATTTCCTTATAGCTAAATAGGTGTACAAATGGCTTGATTTAATTTGGGTGAGTGGAAAGTTATTAGTGAGTCATGAGAGAGAGGGTGCTAGATTTGAGAGGTTTAGGGTGAGTTGGACTTAATTCATTAATTAGGGGGTTTAGGTGTCCTAATTAATTGATTAGAGTAAATTAAGTAACTAAAAATATTTATTTTCATTAAATTTCAGAAATCCCTCTCCCTAAACTCGGAATTTTCTTTCCTAAAAAATGTTCCAGCGAGTGATGCTTCAAGACCGACTCTATACTAAAATGGTCATAACTCTTTATATATAGGTCTAAAACTCACGAAATTTTTCAGAGAGATATTAGACATATAGAAAAAAAATTATTCTTTAATTTTTAAACAAAAATTACTCTAAAGTCCTCAAATAAATCACACAAAATTCGGGCGTAATATAGTCTTCAAAACACTCGATTTTGCATATTTGATTTCTTTAATAATTAAAATATTAATCTCAAGCACAATAACATTAATTTAACATAAATCACAAATTTCAAGCATTAATTTCTCATGGTGTAATGAGAATTATACTTACTCTTAATATATGTATATATCTAAATATTCTAATATGCATCGCTTTACGGTTAAGGATTTTCACGGGGGTTACAACATCCATTCAAAATTTCAATCCAAATGCATTTGAATTTAACAAGATTATAAACATGAGACAATATTGTTGGAAGCTTACCTTATTGGTCAAAATAATCAAGGAGTTTCTTAAAGAGCATAAAAAGTACTTTTTAGATTGGCGATGGATTTGTCTCTTCTTCAATTCTTCAATGGATACGGTTTGTATTGTTAATAGATGCGAGAGATGGTTAGGTAAATTGAATCACAATTCTTCATTCGCTTGCCTTGACCATTTTTTTTAATCTCTAATGGAGAAAATTTGTACTATAAATCGGAGATAAAAAGTTGGTCGAGAAAAGAATCATTGTGAGGTCGCCTTTTGGAGACCGAAAAGTTGAGAAGTTGTTATCCATGATCGTTGAAAAATAAACTACCATGGAGGAGTTATTGTACGTGGCTAGAAGGTGTTACTCGCCATAAAATGGGGTTGTACGGTGTTGTTGTATCTTCAGGTCGATTTAGGAATATGTGGAGGCTTATTTTGGTCTTAAGCTCTTCAAAAAGATTGGAGGTTTGTATGTCTTATTTCTAGTTTATTTTGAATCATTATAATCTAATATATATAAATCCAAATATAGGCCACACATTAGACGAGTATTCAAGATTATCACGAAATCTAAATTTCTAATCGGATTTTACATTCGACTTTGATGACTCAAACGGAAATGGATTTTTGATTTTTTTTGCTTAATTTAAAAAGCTAAATATGTCAACTTCAAATCTCAAAAAAGTCTTCTTTTTTTTTTCTATTCTAGATCTCTAAGAAGATGAAATCTCTCAATCTTTTTCCGAAAGTCAATTTGTCGGTTGTGGAAATTGGGGTTTTGTTTGAAGTGATTTTTCGGTTGGATTTTGGTGAATTTTATTACTAAAAAACATTGCTAGAAGGGAGCCAACCTACTTTTGAACATTTCTTATTGAGGAAAAAGTTATGGTTGGTAGTTTTAAAGAAAAATAAAAGCTCCAACGTTGACAACAACATTGTTAGTAAAGAGTTATTGTCATGACATATTTGGGTAATATTTTAGAAACGTTTCACAACTGACTTTGAAGGGGTTTTCATAGTGGGTTTGAGAGGGTTTTCATGGTGGGCTTGAGAGGGTTTTTCAAGGAGGTTTGAGGGAGGTTTTTAAGAGTTGTTTTGAGGGATGGAAGTTTGAGGAAGATGGCTTGAAAATTGACAATAACTAGCGGGTTTTTTGGAGGTGAGGAGAAGGTGCTTTGGTCGATGATTTGGAAGAGGTTTTGAGACTTTTTTATGGAGGGTTTTGGTTGCTATCTTAAGGGAGTTTTAGGGGCTATTTTGAAAGGGTTTTGAGTCTGAAAAATGGCAGCTTCAATAGAGAAGGAGATGGAGGTGTTGGGTGACAAAAAAGAAGCAAAAGTAGAGAGGGGGTAGCTTGTAGGGGAGGAAATGTGAAGGTTGTGAGTTTTAGTTTTTTGACTATGGAGGCTCTTTCTTCTTGATGGGATGGTAGAGAAAAAGTTTTATCTCACTAGGTTTCTTGTTTGATAAAAGACTAATGAACTACATCTCCCCTTTCGGGAGAGAAAGAGAGCTTTTATAGTGAGTTAATTAGGATCTTAGAAATTTTGATATTGGTCTAATTTCTCACATTTAATTAATTGGGTCTAAAATTTTCAATTTCCACCTATTTTCTTCTTCTTCTTCTTCTTCTAATTTTTATTTTCCCTTCTCTTTTTCTTCTTTTTTTATTTTCTCTTTTATTTTATTTTTATTTTTTTGGTTAATTTTTCTAAATTCCAAAAAAATCATAAAATTTCTAAAAAATCCTATCCCTTGGATGAAAATTACACAATCAAGCCAATTAAACACAACACATCTAATTAAATTCTTTTTTTTTTTGTATTTTCATTTTTTATTAAAAAAAAAGTGTGTAAAACAGAAGGGTCTAAAATTGGATGATAATAAGTTAATTAAAGGTTAATTGCATTTTAGAATAAATTAGAAAATCTGAATTTTTGTTATAAAATAAAATTATTCTCCAAACATATAAAAGAGAAAAGAAAAGAATATTAAAAAAATAAAAATAAAAATTGGGCAGCTTTTAAAAAAATTCGAAAATCTGCTAACAAAAGAAGGTGACTGTTATAGGCCACACACCGCCAGCTTCAGGTGCTACTTTGGCCTGGGAAGATTTGTACCTCCTTAATTAGCATACAAGAGAAAAGGAAGGGTAATGCAGTGAGTCCAATTGTGATAGGGTTTATGTATGGAATGATAGACAGTAGTTTTACATATACACAATTCTTAATTTCGACGAAAATATATAGCAGGCACCAAGTTTTTTTTTTTTTTTTTCCAATTACCTGCCACTCGGATTTCACCAAGCATGATCTTGAAGAGATCTTCTCATTTTGACTTCTAAATTGCAAGTAATTGCGTATGATAATATAACAATACGTAAACAGGGGTGAATCTTGTTGAAGAGATTGAGTAGATTCTATTCTTATTTTTTGTACAAAAAATAAAAAGCATGGAGACACTCCACAAATCTCTGCTTGGGTTAGTTATGAGATTATTAGAGGGAAAATCACAGATAAATTATATTAATGAAGTACAACTTTCTCCAAATTTCTATGCAAGTTTTTTTTTCTTTTCCTTCTCCGAGAATAAAGATGAAAGAAGAGACAAGGCAAAGCATATTATATATATAATATCCCACAATGAATCTCGGTAAAAAATTATGGGAACTTTTCAATGACAATTCATTGAATACAATTTTTTTCTTCAAATGGTTTTTGTACTCAAGAATATCCTACTAATGTCCAATCACGAATGCATTCATGAATAATATATACATTGGATTTCATGTAGATTTCACCACGCGACAATCGTCACACAAAGACAAGGTATCTCATTCAGTTTAGTTGCTCAAGTTGAGTAAAACCAAAGGCCTAAGACAAGAAAAGTTACGTAAGTGATCTAACAACTCTGTCCGAATTAAATGCCTTCGTGATATCTGTAAGATTTCAATTAGAATGGACTTATCAGTTTCGTATCTCATCATCAAGAAAACAGAAAAGGAACCAAAAAAGCCATCAAATTATGCAACATTTGGATTACACATATGGTGAATGTTATTTCAAATATCAACGCAATTTGACCATCAGATTTTGACAAAGTACAATCCATGACTCCAGATTTCTTTAAATTCTCTTAACACTGACTACTTAAACCTGTAGACTTCAACAATTATAAAGTTTGAAAGGGAGACGAGGGGAAAGCAGAACCTCCAATGGGGTTGCTTTTGCTACATTTACTCCTGGCCTCTCAGTCATGTCAACAGACTGATCCATTGAGATTTCAAAATCAAATGCATGAAGGAGTCTAGCAAGAGTCAGGTGGAGGGTGTGGAGTGCAAATGATGTACCTGGGCATGATCGTCTACCAGCACCAAAAGGAATGATCTCGAAGTGTGTACCTCTGACATCAACACCCGAATGCCTTGTAAGGAATCTCTCTGGTTGAAAAACGAGGGGATTTGTCCAATACCTTGGGTCCCTTTGGATCTTCCATACATTTACCACCAAGCGAGTGCCAGTAGGAACACGATATCCAGCTATGGTGCAATCTTCCATGGCTTCCCGGGGTCCTGAGAGGGGAGCGACAGGGTATAAACGGAGAGTTTCCTTGATGATAGCGTCAAGGTATATGAGGTTTTTAATGTCTGATTTATCAACTTGACGCTCATTGCCCACATGAAGGCCCAATTCTTCTTGTGCCTTCTCCAAGGCAAGGCGATTGTTAAGGAGCAGTGAGATGGCCCATGTTAGTGTGGTTGCTGTGGTGTCACTGCCACCAGAGATAAGAGCCTGCAATTAAACTTGCAAGAAACACCAAATTAATACTTGGTTTACAATCGTAGAACCTTGACTTTATCCCATTTAGGTGCCTCCACAAAATGATACATCTTCCGATGCAACAATGGTCCCTAATGTAAAATCTTTTAGTCCAAATCTACTGTTTTCCTTATATTATAAGGTTCGCTTTTGACATACCAGACAGGTAGACTTAATAGTTGTAGCAGAATCATATGGGAGATCAGAGAGCTGTCCTTCCTCCTCTAATGACAACAACAGATCAATGAAGTCCTGCTCACCCTCAGCTTTGAGCTCTCCTGAAACTCTACTTTGGCGATGCTCTTCTAGCCAACCTTCAAGGATGGTATCCAAGTTCTTGGCTGTCCTTTTCATTTTCCTCCCATTCCCCTGCAAATCCAACCACCACAGGAATGGAAAAGCATCTGAAATAACATCAGCTCCCATCAGCTGGAAGAACTGAGAAATTGCCTCTTGGCACCGTCTTGCCTCACCATCATCAGAAGTAGCGGAGGTACCTGAATAACATTTTCCAGCCACCACTTTAACAATAACGTTAAGTGACAGAGCTTCTAACTGCTGTTTAAGTTCAACAAGTACTGAAAGGCAGCTGTTTTCAGCCCATGATCTATAAAGCTTCTCTATCAGCTTATCAACTTCAAAAGCTTGAGCATGCTTAATCATCTCAAGCCGACGGTTCGAAAGAAGTTCAAGAGATACTATCTTTCGCATCTTTCGCCAGTAAGAGTTGTAGGGTCCAAAACCAAACACTGCATGGTTGTAGCACATGTGCTTTGTGGCTGTTGTGGTAGGACGGGAAGAAAGGGCTCTGTCGTTAGTGGTGAAGCATTCCTTTACAGCTTCCCTACTGGTGACCACAAAAGCTCGATGACAGCCAAGACGAATATTGAAAGCTGGCCCGTACTTATCAGCCATTAATCCAAGAGTTTCGTGAAGCTGATCAGCACCCCTTAATAGGTGGAGGTGGCCAATAATCGGCCAAGCACCATTTGGTTCGGGAGCTTCCCTACTCTTTTCAGTACTCCTTATCCTGAGCAATGCATAGCAGAGAAAAGCAAACGAAACAAATCCAGAAATTGCAATTAATCGCAGATCATATGGATTCATGGCTCAATATAGAGATGAGCAAATATCACTAGAGATTTCCGTCAATTTATAACTCAATTCCAATGGTAGTTACTCTTAAGTCACATACATATATATACCATTGCCTAATGCTGTTCCCAGAAGTTAATCAGCCGGCCACACTTTGTCTTATTAATCATTAAACATCACTTCCAACAAAACAGAATACAAATACATTTAGCTTTATCCAACCAAGCATAACGCACCACGTCATCTGTACTTAAATCTGGGGATTCATCGTAGTTTTTGGAAGAAACATTCTCCGTCGATGGCAAACCCAAAGAAAACTGATAAACATGCCAATGGAAAATTCGTCTTGCCATCGTCCAGTTTACTTATCCATCTCTATGATTCTACTTTCAAAGCCTGTGGCAATCCAAATTTCAATAAGAAAGTAAGCAGAAATTTTTAAAGAAGGCAGCGTGACCATGAAAGTGGTTCCTTCTGTGCTCAATCACCAAATCACAAAGAAAATACCTTTCCCTCTGCTCAAGTAAATTATGCTTCACTGCATTTTTTACTGAAAATTTAGCTCTTGAAATAAAAAATGGACCTCATCTCTTCTAGTGTTTCTACTCATTTTTGGATGAACAAAATGTAAAAGCACAAAAGAAAAATAACATATTCCAATTCAGTCACAATACTCAAGTGTCTAAGATCCAAATATCCTGCAAGTGTATCAGAATGTCAAGCTTGATGAAAAAAAGTACACAAAAAACTGTCACAATAAGCAACCTATAAAACGGCACAAGTGAATACAAGTTCGAACAGCAAAGACTGTAGTGCTTGAAATATAAATGGATGTTACACACTGATCAAGGAAGATTAGTTTCCACATGAGGCAACAGACTATCACAAAGTAGAAACCATTATTAACCACCTAACCAAATGACTCCCTTGTTTCTTTAAAATTTAAATTGCGCATCCAACCTTCCTTCAGTGCTCGGTTCAATAGCCATAGAGCTTGGGAGGTAAGCGCGGGATAAGAAGAACCTCTAATGGGGTAGCTTTTGGAATGGTTAAACCTGAACTTTCAGTCAAGTCAACAGGCTGATCCATTGGGGTAGCCAATTTAAAAGAGTGAAGAAGACGGGCAAGTGTCAGGTGAAGGACTCGGAGGGCAAACGACACACCTGGGCAAGACCTCCTACCAGAACCAAAGGGAATGAGTTCAAATTGCTGGCCTCTAACATCAACATCTCCATGACTAGTGAGAAACCTCTCTGGCTGGAATGCAGATGGATTTGTCCAAACTCTCGGATCCCTTTGAATCTTCCATACATTTACTATCAAGCGGGTGCCAGCTGGGACATGGTAACCAGCAACTTTGCAATCCTCCATTGCTTCCCGAGGTCCTAACAAGGGACCTGCTGGATATAGTCGGAGGGTTTCTTTGATGATTGCTTGAAGATAAACAAGATTTTTAATATCCGAATCTTCAACTTGCCTCTCCATGCCAACATGGAGGTTTAACTCTTCCTGTGCCGTCTTCAACATGTGGCGATTGTTCAGAAGTAATGAGATGGCCCAGGTTAGTGTGCCTGCTGTTGTGTCACTACCACCAAGGATAAGGGCCTGCATAAAATGATGAAACTCAAAAAATTCAGCCACTATCTTCACCGTTAGGAGTCATATAGATAGTTTACAATACTTTATGAGCATGAATGATGAAGCTACTATATTCCAACAAGCAACTTTGTCGAAGTGTTGGCCCAAAATGTGAAACATTCCAATTAAAGGTAGTCTAAGATTTTCTGGTAGGAAAAACCTGAAATCTCACTAGTGGCAAACTCCAATTCACAATTAGTTTTTTTATTCTCATCCCCAAAAGGAATTGCTTGAACTGGCTCTATAAATTTAATTTTAATTTCCTGATCATTTTGCATATCAACTTACTAGGCAGGTAGACTTGATACTGGTATCTGCATCATACTGAAAATTTGACAGTTGGCCTTCCTCCTTAAGAGACAACATCACATCAATAAAGTCTTGCTCACTCTCATCCTTGATTCTAGCAGAAACTCTCCTTTGGCGATGTTCATCCAGCCAGCCTTCAAGAATAGCATCCAACTCTTTGGCCGTATTTTTCATTGCCCTTTCATGTCCCTGCAAATCTAACCACCAAAGAAATGGAAGTGCATCTGAAACCACAAAAATACCAATCAGACGAAAGAACTGATTAATTGCCTTCTGGCATCGTCTTGCCTCCCCATCATCAGAGGCAGCAGCAGAACCAAAATAACGCTTTCCAGCCACCATTCTGACAACCACATTAAGTGTCAAGTCTTCTAGCCATTGTTTAAGTTCAACAACCACAGGACCGGAGCTATTGTTAGCCCACAAATTGTACAGCTCCCTTATCCCCACGTCAACCTCAGAAGCTCGAACATGCTTGAGCATCTCAAGCCGTCGGTTAGAAAGAAGTTCAAGAGTTGCGATCTTTCTCATCTCACGCCAGAAAGAGCTGTATGGAGCAAATCCAAAAACAGCATAGTTGTAGCCCATATGCTTTGCTGCAACAGTAGTCGGACGAGAAGCTAGGGCCTTGTCATTAATTGTGAAGCATTCCTTTACTACTTCCCAACTACTCACCACAAAAGCCCGTCGACTGCCAAGGCGGATGGTGAATGCTGAACCATACTTATCAGCCATTGATCCAAGAGTTCGGTAAAGAAGTTGATCACCCCCACCTAAAAGGTGTAGATGGCCAATAATTGGCCATGCTCCAGCTGGTTCAGGAGCCCCTATAATTTGGCTACCTTTGATACTCTTTTTGCGTTGAACCAGTGCTTTGTAGAGAAGTATGAACGAAAAAAACAAAGCAATAGCAATTAATTGTGGAGAAGGATCCATGTTCTACAAAGAGAGATGCACACATCTGAAACTGGCATCCCAGTCAATTTATAAGCCACCTCCAGACAACAATTTAACTAAATTCAGCAAGAAGCAGGCCACCACCTTACAGCTTGTGGCAAGGGCCACGGCATGCCCCTGCGAGTGAGTGTATCTAAGAGAACAAAAAATTCAGCTATATATTTTCCTAATAAATTATTGATTCCTATTTCACACTTTGTATGGATTTAAATTTGTTCAGTTTCTTCAACTAACAATGCCCAAGGTACTTGAAATGTTTGCATCTCTCAATGCTCTGAAAGAATAACTTAGCCTTCACACATAAAGTCAAGACTGAAAAGACAGAGTATACCTAATACCAGAAAAACATGTTGACAGTTGACTTGTTACACAGTAAGAAGAGAACTTGAGATGCATGAAATCATACGAAATCATCGAGTCACTCAACTCATATCTTGTATCAAAAAAAAAAAAAATTGAATATTAGATGAAATAGTTTACATTGAGCCAAGTGCATCAACTGGAAATGCTTTATTCTAGACACCATAATTATTGATATAGAATAACCTTTATTTAATATATATGATTAAAGAATCATATAAGATGATGCTATACGGAATGTTCATTGTTCATGCTTACTGGATTCAGGTTCTTCTCAACGTAGGTGCTACCTGGGGAGTGAAAGCTGGTTGGCAAACATGACTCATATGCAGGGATCATGCCACTTTAAAATGCTGCTATTTATATATTTCTTATGCATGTAAGCTACCAATTTAGAGAAAGTCTTGCAAGAAGACTGCATACCTTAGGATTGTTCATAAATCCAGTCATCTTCCAATTCTAAGACAGTCATCGGACATCTTAGAGCGCACAAACAAAACAGAACATCTTAAAGTCCAAATGTGTGTAAAATGTGGAGAGTTATAACTAGATTAATGGCAGTGTAAACATCTATATGACCTTTATATGGTGTTTTAAACCACCTTAACATTGTTTTACAACTCAACCACAATCCCCTGTTCATAACAAAGAAAATAATAAATTTGTTTCGACAGTGAGCTATATTTTAACGACATCTGACATAGCAAAAGCATAATTTTTTTTAGTGCCTTCAAATAAAAGGCAATAGATTCATATTCAAGCACAAGACGAATAAGGACATTTTCCCAGTAGAAAGTTCCTTTATGGCATATCGGCATTTGTTTAATACCATTTTAATAATCTAACTTATAAACATTAAAAAAAAAAAAAAAAACTAAAAGAAGTGAGGTGTTGACTGTTCATTTACTGTATCTGCAGACTCAGTTGCCCTGTTCATCGAATTTTATCATTTGTTTATTCCTTGGTATGGTTTTACTGTGCAAAATCAATTCTTTTGTATATTTTTTGTTTCAGCCGTCCGATCTAAATTATTTGCTTTGAAACCGTCTGATCTTTCTTTCGATTTCAGCCAATTTCACCTGAGATCATTAAACCCTACGCATCTTCCCGCACTCTCACTAAAAGCCCTTGCCTTTCCGTTCGCGCCACTTTTTTCCATTCTTACCCGGAATTTCTACAATTTTTCAGGTTAATGACTTGAAAAATTCTCCTGGACCTGCTAGGAGAGAGCTTAGACAAGCTACTAGCCAGGCACTTCAATTGCTTCAAGGCAACTATCCAGAATTTGTGGCCAAACAGGTATATTTGTTTGCTTGATTTCATGATTATTTTTTGTTTGATAATGAATAAATTCAAAATGTTTGATTGTTTGGTGTTTACTCTTCAGATCTACAATAATTTCCCCTGCTGAGCATTAGCTCTGACACCAGCATCACCAATGAGTCTAATGGCCATTCCAGCAGAAAGCCCAGCAAGGCCACAAGAAAGACCAGACGAGAGATGTGCATACCCATCAAAAAGGTAATAAGACTTAGCCTTTGGGTTAATTCCAGTACTAATAATAACGGCAAGAATCAACCCATAAATACCCAACACACCAGCCATAACAACTGGTACAATCGATTTCATCACCAACTCAGGCCTCATCACTCCCATCGACGCCACACCAACTCCACTTTTAGCGGTTCCATATGTCGCTTCCATACATGAGAAGACGAGGGCAGCAGCAGCGCCAAGGAAGCCGAAGAAGGGAGCAGTTTCATCGCCGCTGGAAGTAGACATGATTGATTATTGGATCTGGGACAGTGTCGTTTTAGATCTAAAATTTGTAGAGAGGCTTTTGGATATTGGAATTTCTTTGATCTTTCTCTGTGTTTTTGTGAGAGCTGCAGATCTACATCAATGTCCCCTGGTGGTACCTAACAATCAATAAAATGATAAGTCCATTTTTAACCAGAGGACCAAAAGCAAGTTTGTCTTCTCTCGGCCTTCCAAATCTGCAGAAACCCTTATCATGTTTGTACTAAAAGGTGTTAATTTGCTAGCTTTTTCTTGACACATTTATAGGATTAGATTATTTTTCCTGAAGAGGCAGTTTTTGAGAAGGTACACTCTCTTCTTTCTCAACTTTCATGAGATGGGGATAGTTGAATCTAATAGTTGTTTGTAATGTCATAATCTTTTGGCATATTCAGGTTAATCAAGCTTCGGGAAGAGTTTACATCTTGAAATTCAATACAGATGATCGGAAGTTTTTCTATTGGATGCAGGTCAGGTTCATTTTCTGTGTTTCTTCTCTTATGTGCAATATTGACTTTACTGTTTGTTGCATGATTTTAGAACATTTTGGGTAATATGTTTGCTGGAGCCAAAAGCTGAAGATGACTCACAATTATGTAGCTCTGTCAACTATGACATTAACCGTCCATTAGGTGAATTTTTTCTTTCATGTTTTGAGTCATTTGTTAACCATGCTACTCTTCTGAAATTTGTAGAGAGGCTTTTGGAGATTGGAATTTCTTCGATCTTTCTCTGTGTTTTTGTGAGAGCTGCAGATTTTGTTCTCTGTAACAAGAAATGGGATAACTTATTCGATGATATACTCATTTAGGTCAGTTTTTTGCTTTTGCAGGTAAACTTTGTAGATACGGTGCCAGGCTTAGTAGAGATCATGGATTGGGTATTCTTTCTGCATCACATGATGTGTGAGTTGTCTATTTCATTTATCTTCTGGTTCATATCGCAGATGGTTCTGTTTTATGTTTGTCTTAGTAGATGATGAATAATGCCAAAGTCATTGTAGTTTATAAATATTAATTCCCTGAACTTCCTTCATTTTTAAAGAAATATCCTTATTATCTTTCCATAAATGGGTATAAACTCTTTTATCTTTTTTTTTTTTTTGTCTGCCAACAACTCAATGAGATTATTTTTTATGGCATCACATTTTGGTAATGAAATATTCTTTCCTTTTTATGCATTATAAAACAAGCTCAAAAATCCTTTTTATGCATTATAAAAGAAGCTAAAAAATCATACTTTCATTCATCGTTTTCGATTCTTGACAAAAACATAAAATAGAGCGAAGAGCGATTACAATGGTGTCTGTTGCTCCTTTTATCTGATTTTTAGCCTGTGAAGCCACCCTTCAAGGTCCAAAGACATAAAGTCCAATAGGTAAATTAAAACATACAAAAATGAAAGCAAATGCTGTAGTTAACGTTTCATAATCACAATATACTCATTGAAATACTGTTCCCAGTCACTAATTTTCGAAAGATCACAATCATAGTACAATTGTTTTAGTCAATTGGAATTTGGCAGATATATGTAAGCTACTCATTTTGTACATTTAACAGCAGTGATGATTAAAAGTGAGTGAACTAAGACTTCACACCAAGAAAATTCCATATTATAGTTATTGCTAATTTCTAATTTGCTTCTGGGGTGTTCGATCTCTACCTTTTTTTTAGTTGCTAGGAAAAAACATAGAAATTTCTTCCAATAATTTCCCATACTATTTAAGCTATGATTTTCTTCTTGCTATCTTTAGTGTTCATTTCATGTTATTTTGGGAGTATTCCAGTTGGGAAATGATTTTTTTATTATTTTAATTTCTTATATTACTATTATGACTTTGTGTAAGAACTTTTATTCTCAATTTCCATTGGCAGAGCAAAAACATGTGAATGGGGTTGTTGTTGCTAGCTGTCAGAGAGAAATGATTGCTGAACCTGACTGTTTTATGTGCATTTGAACTGTCTTTTTTTCCCAATACTACAATTTGGATCAGATTTGAATGTTCGCAAGTCTGGAGGTTGAAGATGGTGAGGGTTTAGTTTATTTTATGTATTTTTACATTGAGTTTAATTTTAAAATATTTAATAAATATATATTATAAAGTGTTTTGAGACCTCCAAATATTTGGTTCTATTAACAATAACTACAACAATAATCTTTATCGGGACCTGTCATTTTCTTCCACTTTCCCAAGACATTACAATTTTTCAGTAAATCTTTGTAATAAAATCTATTAACTACATTTTGCTCAACATCCAGTTCTTAAAATCAAAAACCATATTCAGAACATGCTGTTTTTCTTGAAGTCGATGGGTAATCACTCTTCTTTTTTCTTTTCATTTACTTAATTAGTTTTTTGGTTTTTATTTTTTTCTTTAATTCTTCTAAAAGGAGTTATCTTTTATCTTTCAGGGTATTTATAGATACATGGAGGTTGGGAAATCAGCAAGCTTTTAATGTAGTTGTGCCTAATTAATTAGTTTTTTTTTTTTTTTTTTGTAATTACCAATATCTTTATGACTATAAAATGATCATGTTTTATAGCAACTATTCGGGATTGTATATGTTCAACTGTTGAAATTAGTGTTCTCTCTTTATTTGTTTGTTTCCATCAAAACCAATGTTTTGGAAGCTGGGAATCAATTGTGCAAATTAGAATCATATGTGGGCGGTGCCTCCAATAGTGCTTGCTTTAGCTAAACAGAATTTGGATAAGAAGTATGACCTTTCTTCATTGAAAAATATTGGTTATGGTGCTACCCTTCTGGGAAAAGATTTGATGAAGGAATGTGCCAAAAATACATTTGATACTATAATTGGTCAGGTAAGTGGTGTAGTTAGACTTTTTCGTTAAAAAAAAAGATTTACTTCTTTTTAATCAAGATGCTTTCTGTGGTTTCAGGCTCAAGCCATGACTGAACCTTCTGCTATTGTTTCAGTAGAGGATTCAAGAATAAGTGTCCAACATTCAGGTTCTGACTGAAAGTCTTATGTTAATATGATTGTCATGAAAAAGGCAGTTCATTCAAAGTGTTTTAAATGTTTCTTTGTTAACATCAGTTGCTGCATAATACTGTGCTACAGGAAATGCCTATGTTTAGATCTGAATATCCTCCGAGGCTTGTTATTATTCTTTTTCATTTGTTTTTATATGTTTCATGTTCTATATACACTACAAGATTGTGCCAATATAGGTCTATTACTTAATTTCAATTTGATCATTCAGAGTACAAGTAATCCATGATTCTTATCTATTTTTTGAAAGATGTGAGGTAGCCTTTTGTTTTTTTTTTTTTATTTTGACATCTTAAAGTTATCTTCTACAGCTTATTTTGGATTTATTTAGTCTCTTTGTTGTCAGCATGATTGTTTTGCCTAGACATCCTGTTTTTTTGTTGTCAATGCATCAACAACTATTTTTCAGAGATTCATTTTGGAACAACTAAATTTGATAAAAGACATATTATAATGTATTAAGGCACCAGGTCTTTATTTTTCTTTGCATGTTTTTACATCATTGAATAGTTTGTGATTTGGTAAAGATTAGGCTACTTGCTTGAAATACCTTTTGCAGATAATATTGTTGACAATTTTTATATGCAACAATTGTACTTTCAGTGAAAGTCAATGTTAGATTATCTGTTTGTTAGCTTACAGGAAATCATAATGTTTTAACATCTTCAATAATCCTGTCTTTCAGTGAAGATCGTACCGAAAATCCTAAAACTATTGACATGGATAAATATGAGTTTAAAACATGTGTGATTAATATCATAGAGTTCTTTTCATCTCCTTACACTCCGCCATGTGCTTTTGAGTAAGTTCTATCATGCATGGCCTTCGTGACATCCATGATTGTCTACAACTATGAAACATAGTTGTACTATGAACCTTGAAGACATTTAAGTATATCTCCACAACTGCATAATGATTGTACTAAAGAGATGATTAGGTTGATTATTTAAATTGCTTTTTCAGGTGAAATTTAACTTGCTTTTATCATTTAAGGTGAAATTTTTTATCCCTTTTAGGATTAATGATTGTGTAGAGAATTTAGTTAGTATCTCTTTCTAAGAAAGCTCTATTATCTTTCTTCAACCAGAGGATCAACTCATTTGGCTCGAAAGCAGTAAAAGCTGCATATATTGTGATTGATGCTATAATGAGACTATCCAAAGGGTGTTTTTTTTTTCATTTAGGGTGGGGGGTTTTTGTGGTACTTGGAACAAGTATTCTGCTGTTTTGAATTTAAATAAAAACTATAAAGTTCATGTCCTTTTGCAAACAATGGTCAAGATTTTTGCTGTAAAAAAAAAAAAGGATACTTAGTTCTCTTTTAAGATTGTTTCAAGCATTCTTAACATTTGGTCCAAGTTTATTATGCATATATTATGTACATATGTGCTTTGTTTCACCACTAGCCTTAATGCAATCGTTTATATACATTTTGAACATAATCATCCAATGATCATTGCTAAATAAATCCACTTATTACAAAGATTAGCACATGCTAAAGCACAATGTATACACAAAACATGATCGAGCAAATAAATTTAAACTAATTTCTTATGAACATAATTTACCTGTGTCAAAATTATCTAAAAAAATATCAAAATGTTCGAAACATATAATGGTACTTCACTTGTAGTATGTTGTGGGAACATATTTTCATCTATATAAAACGAGTATCCGATCGTAGCTGGGTACCTTATTAGTAAATATGACTCAAAAAATTGTAATAAACCTTAAGGTTCTCATGATAGCCTATTGATTCAAATCATGGACTTGTTGGTTAAGTTCAATTCTTATGATTAGTACTTATGAGAATTTATTCTCATAATATTTAAAACCGTGCATCGTAGATTGTAGAGTGTTTTTTTTAGCTATATTCAAATAAAAATTTGTTTCAAAATGAGCAAAAACTGATCCAAAGATACTTTTGCTGTTGAACAAAAAAAAAAAAAAATTGCAATGCATTTTTCGGTGGGACAAAAATCATAGTAATTTTCTGAGATGGAAAGTCCCTTATAATCCATGCACTTTCTGTTTTTTTTTTTACTTTTAATTTACATGGATGATTATAGCGGAAGGAAGACGTGGGACAGAGAAGATAAGTGTGCGAAACACGGGTACGCAGATTTTGTCCCAAAATCTATTACAAGATATCATGTAATGATGAGGGCTGTGAAAATTCGAGAATGCCTAAATGTCTGGATTGTGTGTGCTATTTGTTTCTGAACTATAGGTACCCCCAGAGAAACTTCAACCAAGAGACAACCCATAATGATTGCTGGACGATACCCACGCTTTCTTCTTCTTCCCCGCAGACATGATTACCTGCATTACCATCACCCTGAATTGCTGTGTACGAATAATTGATCAAATTATTGAGAAGAAGAGATTCCAACAAACAGATTTTTGAGAAGGTATTAAATGTGTACGAATAATTTCTGACATGACTAAGAAAGTACTTAATTGCAATAAGATGGAAATTGATCAAAGACACATTGTGTCTGGATGTTCAAACCCCAAAGAACTAGGAAAGTCTATAATTGCTCGAAACTGTAACCTAAGGCAGCTGATATTAGTTATGCCGAAAGTGGATGGTCATGTAACCTTTTTTCCTTTTGTTTATAAGGAAGCACGGGGTACCAGGACAAGGACAATTCAAGGGCACTAGGCCGAAGACCAGGAAGGCTGGAAAGAAGAAAAGGGATGACTGGCCCCCCTATGTCAATTCAATATATTCATATAAATCAAATCCATGCATGAGAGTCAATGACTATTCATGGGCCAAACAGGGGAACAACAAATTAAAATGGCGTACGTTGCAGATCCACATCCATATCCACTTTATTATTGTTGTTGTTGTTATTTACGTAGTGGTCCTATTGTTGCCAATTACTCAATTTTGGACTATAGAGAAATAAATGTGAAGCTGGTGGTGATGGCCAATTGGCAATACCACCAACATTTCTAATCCAAACTGCACCGTGCGCATGGGTGAATGAGTAACAAGCCAAGGAGAAGGTTCCAACAGCTTTCTGTTCTCCATCTTGTCTGCAATCAAAGTCAAAAGAACGGACAACGCATCAATCATTGTGGATTGGCAATATGACACTACAAGTATTTGTTAATTTTATGATATTTTGGGTAGATTTTAAGTAAATCATTACGAGAAAAAAATTTCCTGGTAAGCACTAGCCTATTTCACTTAATTGAATTCCCCAATTCCTAAAATTTAGAAATTTATGTATGTACCGTAAGTTTTAAAAATGCTCGCCTCCATGAAACTAGATAAAATGAGAAGATGCCGACAACACTTACGCGTATTCACACATTTGATTTTAGATTATAAGTAGTCAATTTTTACGTAAATTGAGAATAAATTCATCATTTTTTGTAATATATAAACATCATGTCAAATTTAGTTTTGGATTGAATTAGAAATTAGACTCTTTAAGTTTACTACTAATTCATTTCTAGTATCAAATATATATGCTCGATCTTTTATAAAATTAATTAATTTACTTAATTTTGTACTAATCTATATTATTTATTTATTTATTTTGATCTGGGTCCAAATTGTACGATAATTGAATTGAACTAAAAATGATCCTAACTCAACACAAGATTTTGGATTGCAAGGATGGACACAGTATATTTTGACAAGGTCGTTGTCTATATCTTATCTTTAAAACGCATTAGAGAGATTGAATTGGTAGGTTCGGAGTAGAATCCGCTAAAGAAAGGCTCAATCGTTACGTTTTTCAGCATTTTTTAGCAAGTTAAAGTATTTTAGCCTAAAAAATCTAAATCCTTGACGCCAAATTTGACAATTCAAACTTAGATAATGCGAGTATGATCTTAGCGAGTCAAAGACCATCTCGCTTTTACTATAAATACCAACCTCACATCATTGTGAGGGATCATAACTTTTACATCAAAGAACTTTTGATTTCAAAATTTTTGATTTATAGGAAAAAAAATAACCTTTGAACTCTCTCTCTCTCTCTCTCTCTCTCTCTTAAGGCTCCCACACTCACACATCAAATAGCACCTAAAGCTCCATTTGTTTGAATTTTTACCGCCCACCTATTACCCATAGAACTTGCATCTTGCTAGCACTATCTCGCTTCTCCTCCCACGCCTCTCGTTATTTGCATTCTTTCTATTTGGTTGTTTGATCGTTGTTTCTATAAATTACAACACCGACTCTCCGTATCTTGACTACTCGCGGATCGATCGTTTGATCGCCTATCAAAAACCCTTTCTACACATATAAACAAGAATAAAAAGTTTTTCTAAAATAAGAATATTCAAACTCTTCACTTAATTAATGATTTAAAGACAACGTATATGAGCGAGTTAATCAATATACCACCATAATATATCAATACCGCATATATCCGCTTTTGAAGCTTTGTTTTCTTAATGGATCAATCACATTACATAAAGTTTATTCAAAATTAAAACTTGTTGTTATTGATATTGAATACTCGTTTGGTAAAAAGAAGCTCAAGTCGTATTGATTTAGGTAATAATTTCTCTATTAGTCATCTTCAATATACGAGATGATATGATTATTTTTTTTCCTAATGATGTTGAGATTCGGTAAATGTGAAGTGAGTTTTGCATTGGTTTGAATTGTGTTTAAGGTTGAAGGTTAATTTTTTCAAGAGCTCTTTAATTGGTATAAAAATTGATCATGATTATTTCTTTAACTTAGCAAACCTACTCGTAGAATGGGTCAACTTTTTTGTAGATACCTTGGCTTTCCATTGGGTGCAAGTCTTAGACGAATTTCTACTTAGAATCCAATGGTTGATAAAGTCAAAAATCGCCTACGGACATGGAAAGGGACGTATCTTTCTTTGGAAGGACAGATTTACGTTTTAAAATCTATTTTATCCAAGCATTCTAATTTAATATTTATTTCTCTTCAAGTCGCTAAAAGGTGCGGTAAAGGAATTGGTGTCTATT